AGCTGTCACCTTCACCCTGCATGCATCCCCCCCGCAGCCCTTAGCAACCGAACATCGACTTTCTGTCTCTGGCAAATTCTTTAAGTGCCTCTGGACTTCATGAGTCCTCACTGGGTCCCAGAGGTGCCTGTTGCAACCCATTTCACAGATGTAGAAGGCAAGGCTGGAGAAGTGCCGGGGAGTACACGCAGCAGATGGGTGGGGTGGAGCCCCGACATTCACTCACAGGTCTGCCTCCCTCCTTTACCCCTCCACCCTCTGTCCTCTGGCCTGGATCTACAGTCACCTGGGGGCTCTGAGGGGCTAAGGGAGGCCCAGGCCTTGGCCAGAGGAGGCAGGTAGGGCAAAGCCGGGCAGGGTAGGCAGGTGCCCCAGTACTGTACCGCAGGAGCCCGGCGGGTGGCGTGGCCTGGGCTGGCTGTCCCTTGCTGTCACTGCTCTAACCGCTAGCAGCAGGCGTCCCCTCTGCCATCCTGGCGTTTGCGCTGCGCTTCCGGGAGGAGGGTTGCGGCCGTAGTCAGTAGTTGAGGGGTGGGAACGGCTTCATACAGGAGTTGATGCACAGTTATCCAGCTCCTATATGATGCCTTTCTTCATCCCTTCAACCACGCGCAGCCCCGGACCCTCCTCTGCACCCTGGGCTGCATGGGGTCGTGTCCTCCGGCCCGCTGCTGTCCTGCCAGCCTCTTCCCGGCATGCTCCTTGGGCTCTTCTCTCTCTCTTCCGTAGCTCTCTTGAGTTTCTCGAGGGGAGGGCCTGAAGCTGGGCCATCTCTGAGGCCCCTCCTTGGCCGGGACCTATGCCCCTAGTGAGACACCCCCCTGGGCTGATTTCGCAGCCAAGGACAGATGGGCCAGAGGGGGTTGGGTAGTCCTGGGGCTTCTCCTACTGAGGGGCCGGGGCTGTGCTCCCACGGGGAGCCCTCCCAAGGGACCTGACCCACAGGATGAACGGGAGGATGTTGGAGAGATGGTGCCCCTTTGTGCCCAGGGTGGAGGGGGCAGGGCTTTGGCAGAGCAGGGCTGGCTCTTTCTGTGCCCCAAGAGGAGGGTCTCCTCGAGGGGTCTCTGCCTCTACCCAGGACTCTTTCATGACCAGGAGGCTGAGGCCCCTCACAGGCGGCTTCTTACTCTCTCCTTAGACCTGTTGGGAGACACTTCCCTTCTCCCCAAGGATTCTTAACTCTGGATCCCCAGAAGCTTTTATCTGGGCCCCCTTCTTCCCCTGTGCCCACCCTGCCCAGGCTGGGTGCTCGAGGGCACCCTATGGCAACATGAGCAGTGGGCACGGCGGTGGACCCCCGGTTCTTGGACCTCTGTTTTCTGCCTCCCCAGCTAACTCAGGTCCCGTGCATGGCAGTGGTGACTCGCACCATGCCCTGTGGTACTGGCATCATTAATCCCAGTAACAAGCCATGACAGCCAGCCTAGGCACAAGTGTCGGGCACCAGGGTGGCAGGTGTGGGGAGAGAGGCCTTGCGGCAGCCGAGGACACTAAAGAGGACAGGAGGGTGCCGGAGGGGGCACTGTCTCCCGGCCCTTCCTATGCACTGCCCACCTGCCCTTCTTTGCCCTCCTCCCCCATGCACTCCCTCTCTTCCTGGTCTACCCCTCAGCTTCTGCGGTGTCGGGATGGGTATGCTTGTCTTTGTTGATCTCAGGCAGGTGCACAGGGGTCCAGACGAGGCTTTCTGTTTGGGTCTGAGGTCAGTGCCAATGGGCTTGAGGTGTGACAAGGGTTTTGGCCCAGCCACAGGGTTCTAGGAGGGTGGGTGGAGCTTGGGAGTGGGGGTGATGGCTTCTATCTGTTGTCTTTCTCCTTTTCACTTTGGGAGCAACTGGGGTCACCAGGTGGGCAGGAGGGGACCTCACATCTCTGCTCTGGGCAGATGGTTAAGAGCTGGCCAAGCTCCGAGCCCAGGGCCCTGAGTCCGAGGCCCTTACCTGACCCGGGGCCGCCCGCGGCGGGATGAGCGAGTCCCAGCCTGAGTGGTGAGTAGCCCTCAGCTGCCTGGGTGGTGTACTGTTGAATGTTCCCGAAGCTGGCCCTGGGTGCACCAGCCCTGGAGACTGGCACGCTGGGGATCTCATGAGGGTGGGCTGGGCCGGGAAGGCAAGTTGATGGACAGGGACTCAGCATGGTGGAGTTCAGCCTCCTCCATCTCGAACCAGCCACCTGGGCGTGAGCAGAGGAGGTGGGAGCTGGGTGCCTTTGGTTGCAGCCTGCCAGGGCCTGTGGGACTGTGTGCCAGTGTACATGCCAGGCTGTGCAGGCAGTCTGCTGTTCTGAGGACAGTTTTCACCTTTTTTTGTGGTGGCCATGATGTCATAACCTAGCAAGTCATTTAACATTAACCTTCCTTTTTCTTTCCCCAGGAGAGAGGTTTGTATTGTTTTTCTTTCGAATCTTTTGTTTTCGTAGGATTTGTGGGAACGGTTGCTGTTTGGTTACGTGAGTAAGTTCTTTAGTGGTGATTTGTGAAACTTCAGTGCAGCACACACTGTACCCAGTTTGTAGTCTTTTATCCTCACCCCCTCCCCACCCTTTCCCCAAGTCCCCGAGTCAATTCTATCACTTCATCTGTAGTTCTCCCCTGGGCCTGGGGACTGCCCCCCTTCTCTGTAAACTAAGCCCACTCTGGCTGCGGTGGGTGGGACAGCCAGTGAGGCCAGTGCATCGCTGTCTGCTGGTGTGGGGGGCCGGGGCCACTCTCGTGCTGGGAGCCCCCTAGTCAATATGTGTGTGTGCATGTGCGTGCATGCATGTTAACTGTGGAGAAGTACGTCCACCTCAGTGTGTGTCTGGATTCCCTGCTGTAGGGCAGGGGTGATGGTTGCTGGTCAATTCTCTGGCCTTACCCTGTAAGGTGGTCTCATTTGCCCCTTCACCTTTGATGGCCCAGCAGGAAAGGAAGGTCCTGGCTGCAGGGACACAGGGGTTGCCAATCCTCCCCACATTCACCCGGGGAGCCCCTGCCAAACAGGGATAGAAGTTTGCCCTTGAAGATCAGCCTCTGGGACCCCCTAGGAGTGGCCTCCAGGTGACCTGATCTGGGGACCCTCTATTTTGACCCCTGGCTCTACCCCAAGGTAGTTTACTTTGAGGGACTTGGGAGCCCCAAGAAGAATGTCATCTGGGAACAGTGGGGGTTGTAGGAAGCAGCGGCCCTTGGAGACTGGGTCTGGGTATTCTGGAACTGGCCCTACCTCTCACTACATTCTCCATCTGATGATGGGAAAACAGGCTGGAAGATGGACGGCCACTACCTGAGGTCACCCAGCAAGTCAAGGTTGGGGCCCTCCAGGCCAGGTCACTAAGGGGCGTCTGCACCTCTTGCAGCCGAGTCCCTGGCCTTGACCGATGGCATCTTGTCTTAGGCTGCCATCAGAGGCAGAGTGCCAGGGAACAGACGAGCAGGCATGGTGCCCTTGAGCCCCTGGAGCTGCTGTGGTGTTCATCCCATCAGCCTTGTGACTGGAGGCAGAGTGGGTGAAGTAATCCAAGTGAGAGGGCACAGACCAGCCACCAGGAAGGGGCCTCCATCCTGGCTCTGTCCTCAGCTCCTCTGAAGCCCATTCTGGGCCTTGATTTCCCCAAGTTTATCCTGGGAAAGTGACAAGAGAAGTCTGTGGATAGGGCTGGGAGCTCTGACTGCCAGCTGCGCCCAGCACTATATTCCTAACTCTGAATCCTCGCAGCAGCCTTGATGGGTTGGAGTGACAGATGAGGAAACTGAAGCTGTGAGAGGCCTTTCTGCAGCCAGCTCGTGGAGGTAGAGAGAGGCCCAGAGGTGTAGCCCCTGCCTTTGAACCTGGGGATCCTGACCATGATCTCCTGGTGCTGCTGTCAGGGGTAGATTCTTCAGATAGGTGGATGGCGGGTGACAGCTAGGCACCCCTGGGGATCCGTGAAGGTATCGGGAGCCAGTGTGGGGCTGGGGAGTGCAGGGAAGGAAGGAGGCCGAACTTGCAGTGCCAGCCCTGGGCTCCTTGGGGTGTGTCCTTGGGCAGGGGCTCCTGCTGTGTGCCCAGTGGGTCCTCGTGGGGTAGGAGCAGGAGGCGGAGCCATGCTGTCTAGGGACTGCCATGCTCCCGTGCCTCCTCTTGGGGACAGAGTAGGGTCCCTTCCATGTGGGAGTTGAGAACTCTGGGGCCAGGTGGAAATGGCTTCCCTAGGGGATGGGGCTGCTCCAGTACAGGCGAGCTGGGTCCCTGCAGTGGGGCGGGGTGCACTGGGAGGTTGGAGGCCACTCCTGGGTAGGCGTGACCCATGGCCAGGAAGAGGGGTCAGTGTGTGCTTGCCTGTAGAATGGGAGCCCAGAGTGGGTGAGTGCCACCTGCCCTGCCTCCCCTACTCTCTGTGGGACCCCCGGCACCCCTCTACCCAAGGCAGTGCACCCTCACCCTCACAGCCGCCATTTTGCCACTTTGGTGACAGCATGACCCTTCGGAATGGGACCCTTTCCCTCTCGGGGGGAGGGGTTAGGGACTACTTGGGATCAGGGCTTGTGGGCCCGGCAATGTGGGGCTCAAACCACACCTCATTTCTCATATGGCAAGGAGGCTAAGGCCAGAGGTGGGATTTGGGTTTTGGGATTTGGGTTTCGGGGGTTCCTTTTCTGGAACCCGAAGGAGAGGCCGCTCCCACTCCCCCGCCTCCCACTGCCCTGAGACACCTTTTTTTGTCAGCTCCTCTCTTTGAGATGAGCTTGTGGGGGGTGCGCATCCCTGGTGGCCTCAGTGAGGGTGGGTGCCTTCCCACAGCAGGAAGAAGTGCCCAGCGTCCTGGTGAGGGTGACTTCAGGAAGGTGGTGAGGCCTGCTGCCATGTGCCAGGCCCCCATGGGGCTGTTTCAGGGGAAAGCCTTTCCCACTTCCACCCCTCCCACCTAGCCCTCTTACCCCCTCCTCCACCCCACCTACCCCCTCGCTCCTCCCATCCCTGTCCCCTCCCCTGCCTATCCACCCATCACCCCCGCTTTTATAACAAAACCCACAGTCAGTCTTTTATTTTGCTTTATTTGAGGAGTGCAAAAAGATTAGGGGGTGAGAAAGTTCAGGGGGCGGGGAAGGATTTTCTCCCCATGCAAAGCAGCGCGGCCAGTCTCTCTGTGACTTGGCAGGGTCCCCTGGGTGTCTGTGTGCTTTCTGGGACCCCCAACACCCCTGCACTGTCCAGTGTTCAGTGTTGGGAGGGGAAGGCACCCCTTCACCGCACAAGTCTGGTAAGTGGCACTGGTACATCGGGATACCCCAAACAGCGGCTTTGTCCAGGTAAGTCCAGAGCTCAGGGCCAGAGGAAGGCAGGGTCTAGAGAGCTGACGCAGTCGTGGTGGGGGCGGGCTTGCTTGCAGGGTGGGATGGGGGTGAGGGATGTTGGGAGGTTGGGGATGGGGGTAAGGGGAGCAGGAGCCCGGCGGTGGAGGTAGAAGGTCAGTGGAGCACCTGAGGTCAGTGTCTCAACACGGCACAGGGTGGCCGTCACCAGGCCGGGTGGGGGCCCCGCACCTGCTTGCTTGGCTGTGCCTGCTATGCCTGCTTCTTCATCTGGCCGTGGGTCATGGGGTCACCTCCTGTTCGCCACTGCTTTCTCCCTCATGGATGTCACTCCCGGGCACGGTCCCGGGACCTGGAGAACTGAGTACTGGCAGCCCAAGGCTGGCGCCAGGCCTCCAAGGACTGGCTAGTCCGTTGGCACAGTGGCATTGCTGGTTGATGAGTGGAAGTTGTTGCCCTTCACTAGCGGGTTCCTCTTGGGTCAGGAGCAGCAGGAAGGGAAGCGAAGCAGCCTGAGGCGTGAGGAGGCCAGGGGCTTCGGAAGGCATTGGGGCCAGAGAAATAGACGGGACTCTGCTGGAGGTGGGAGGTGCCTTCAGTCGAGGTCAGCATCTTCGTCCTCGTCAGGCGGCTCTTCCAGCCGGGCCTGCTCCCTGGGCTGGCTCCCCCAGGCGGGGGCAGGCAGGGCCTGCCTGTAGATCAGGGTCAGGAACCGGCTCAGGGCCCTGGCGGCCTGCTCCCGGCTAAGCAGGTGCAGCTGGCCGTCGGCGCTGCGGATGTGGAGTAGGCGGCTGCTGAGGAACTCCAGGACCTGCGGGTCCATGAGGTGGCGTGGGCGGAGCGGGTGGGCCGCGGCCGCGTGGCTGGGCGAGGCCTCCTGCACGTCGTTGTCCTGCTTGTCCTGCGAGGTGTCTTGCAGGCCGTCATGCAGGCCACACTGACGGTAACGTTGCAGGTCGTCTTGCAGGGCTTCTCGCAAGACGACATCCTCATCGCCAACGACGTGCAGCTCCAGGTAGCGGTTCTCACGAAGGGCGGGGAGGCTGTCCTCCCGGGGGGTGACTCTCATACCGAAGAACTCACACAGCGTCAGCCAGAACCCAGGGGTGAACTGTAGGCCTCGGTGGGTCTGGGGCTGCAGGGCGTTTCGCTGCCAGCGGCCGGGGCCCAGGAATAGCTCGGCCAGCTCCTGTGCCGGGATGGTGTTTGCGCCTACGAGGGCGGGCATCTGGGTGAGCAGCTGGGTGATGGCTGTCGTGATGCCGCTGCCCGCGACGAGGGAGGAGTCCAGGAAGAGTCGTAGGGAGCGCCGGGGCTGGGGCCGAACCGCCTGCATGGCGGGTGGCGGCAGCAGCGGGGGAAGTCGCCTCACCCGCAGTAGCACGAGGATGGACGCCAGGGCCAGGACGTTCTTCCAGTACAGGAGGCCTCGGAAGAACTGCAGAATGACGGCCCTGATCTGGGCCATGCTGAAGTGGGCGAGGAAGCTGTTGAGGAGCTGGTCGATGGGAATCACGGCCAGCAGCTCTTGCCGTAGGGCCTGTTCTTGGGCCTCATCCTGGTCCTCATTCTCTTCTTCCCCGGATTCCGCTGATGGATCCGTGGGGAATCCCCTGGAGGCCAGCAGCAGGGTCTGCCTGGCCGCCGTGCTCCTCCGGAAGGCTCTCCTCCACCGGAGGTTTCTCGAAGGTGGCAGGGCTCGGCCGCCATCCTGTTCTGGCAGCTCCATGACGTCAAAGTTGAAGTGAGAGAAGAAGAAGACCCAGTGGCCGGGGAGAAGTACGGTGAGCCTGTCATTATTCAGAGAGGCTAGATCCTCTGTGTTGAGAAGGATCATGATGGGCTCCTCGGTGTTCTCCAGGTAGCGGCACCACACCATGAAGGCAGCCCGTATGGGAAGGATCTTCATCTCCACTTGCGAGTACTCGACCTCGATGGGGGAGATGCTGCGGGAGTAGAAAGCACAGCAGGCCCTCCTGCCGGTCTGCTCGTCGATTTGGATCAGGGAGGCGTGCAGGCCCGTGCCGGTGATGCCGGTTTCCAAGTAGAATCGGTTCTGGGGCTTGGGGTGGTGGAGGAGGGGAGCCTTGCGGAAGGCCCTCTGGAGGCACTCGAAGGCCTCCTGCTCCTCGGCCCCCCAGTAGAACTGGCAGGAGCTCAGCAGCTGCCGCACCAGGGGCTCGGCGATGATGCTGAATTGCTCCACGAAGTGCCGGTAGGGGAAGACGAACTCCATGAAGTTCCGCAGAGAGAGCCTGGAGCCAGGGGTGGGGTACCCTGTTATGATGGTCATGACGTTCTTGTTCAGTTTCACCCCTTTGGGGGTGACAACGAAGCCCAGGAATTCCACGGTTTGGCGGTGGAACTGGCTCTTGTCCAGGGAGCAGTAGACGTTGTGATGGCGGAAGCGGACCAGGACTTGGCGGACGTGCTGGAGGTGCTCCTCCTGGCTCATTGAGTAGATCAGGACTTCCTGGCCGTAGGAAAGCACGAGGAAGCCTAGCATGTCCTTTAGGATGAAGTGAATGACGTTCTGAGGGATGATAGGGTCTGGGGAGAGGGCGAACGGCTGGTAGCTCTTCATCTCTTGAAGCTCCAAACCAAACGCTGCTTTCCACACATCTTCGGTGCCGTGCACGTTCACGCTTTCCTCCACGATGGTCCCGCGCAGCTCCAGTTTTGTGAACCACGCGGCTCCGTGTAACTGGTCAAACAGTTCCGGAATCATCTGTATGTAGTCCTGTCTGTCGGTCAGCATGTCCTGCAGGTCCCAGTATTCCTCCTGTAGCCTGGCTCTTTCTTGCATCCTGGCGCTCACAGGTTCCCAAGGCGCGGTGGAGGGACATTCGTAAAAGGTCTCGCTGTGATCACTGTCTCCAGCCTGCTGAAGCTCAGAGGGCTCTGATTCAGAAAGATCATCGGATCCGTCTGAGCTTGGCTGGTCGGAAGTCTCATCATCTGCTTCCTTCGGGTTAAACACGTCGGCCAGGTCTGAGTATGGGTGTGGCAGTCCGGGTAGCAGGCTCATGCCGTGTCTCTCCAGGGCGATGCATGGCGGGGGTGGGCGGAAGCAGTTCTTCAGGCAGTAGGGAGAGTGGAAGGTGCAGCGGCCTTTGACCCAGTCGACCTCTGGGGCATGGAGTCGGAGCCAGCGGATGCCCAGGACCACGGAGAAGTTTGGTGAAGGTACGATGTCAAATTTGATGGATTCCTGGTGGTTCTGGTGGATGCACACCAGGGGCTCCGTGTAGAGCCAGACCGGCTCGTTGCCAATCAGCGAGCCGTCCACGGAATGGATCGGCTGAGGGTAAGGCTTCTCATAGAGCTCCACGTAGTGCTCTTGGGCGAACTTCTCATCCATGAAGTTGCCGTCGGCTCCCGAATCCACCAGGGCCTGGACGGCGACGCTGTGGTAGGGGTTCACTCTCACCATGAGCAGCAGGAAGAGGTGGGCGCGGTTGATACCCGGATGGACTTCGCTGGGCAGCCAGCTGCTGACACTCCACCTCTCGGGAGCAGGTGAGTCAATCCAGGTCAGGTTCCGGGGGCGGGACTCGGGGGGCAGCCTGAGCACGGCTCTTCTCTCCGCCAGCTTCTCTTCTATTTGCAGGATGAGCACAATCAGACTGTCTAGGGATTCTGGCTGAGGGATCCGGAATAGATAGTGCCTGATCTCCTCGTTGAGCCCCTGGCACAGGTGGGCCTGCAGGACTTCGTCTGGCCAGCCCAAGATGGGTACCAGGCTCTGGAACTCATCAATGTACTCGGTGGCCGAGCGGCCGCCCTGCCTGATACTGAACATGGCCTCTTCTGCCACACGAAGTGCCTGGCGGTATTCAAACACCTCTGACATGGCCTCCAGGAAGGCTGGGAAGTTTCCGATCAGGGGGCTGTCTTCCTGCACTCGAGCTCTGGCCCATTCTAAGGCCAAGCCGGAGAGGTGGTCGATGACATACTCAACGCGCAGACGGTCGTTACAGAACTTTCTTGGGTAGCTCTGTAAGGTCAGTTGGCAGAGCACGATGAACTCGTGGAATTCTCTGCGATCCCCGGAGAAGGGCCTTGGGGCGGGCAGTTGGCCTGCAATGATCCCTTTGATCAAGATCTCTTCTGCTACTCTTTGTTGCTCTTTGAGGTCTTGCATTCGGAAGTACAACGAGATGATGGACCTCACCATGGCCATAAGCTCCGCGGTAGAGTGCTCGGTCTGGTTTTGCCCTTCTTGAGGAGCCTCCTCCCTCCCCGATTCCTTCAGGTCAGTGTGAGCCTCTTGCTCTTCTTGGGCTCCCGATGGGGTGACTGATGCTTCTTTCATCCTATCAGATGCTCCACTGAGTGGATCCCCCCCCCTTGCCTGGTGTGAAGCGTTGCATGACTCCTCCAGGTCTTGGAGTAGGTCATTGGGTGGATCCTCTATTTCCTTATGTGGGCCACTGGATGGCTCCTCCATGTCTTGGAGTAGATCAGTGGGCATCTCTTCCCTTTCCTGGAGTGGGCCGCTGGGCGGCTCCTTCATTTCCTGGGCGGGGCCGCTGGCCGGCCCCGCCTCTCCCTGCACGCTGCTGCCCCTGCCCGATGTCGCCTCGGTGGTGCTGGATGAGCCCTCGGAGGACTCCATTTGTTTTGATGATGGATTCTTATGCTCCATCATCGTCTCAAATGAGTCTTCAGAGGGTTCTATCATTTCGTCGGATGGAAAGGAGTGTGTTCTGAAGATGGGTAAGGCTGTGATGGTGTCCAGTCAGCTGCTGGGACTGTGGAGATAGAACCTGGGGGTGGAGGGGAGTGGGGAGTAAAGGCAGTAGTTTAGGGTCTCGCGGGGTGGCAGTGCCAGGTTCTCAGGGACAAATGAGATGCCCAACGCATCAGAGCAGGGAGAAACTGGGGAAGGCCTTCTTGTATCCAAACCAGCCTCCTTGGCTGGTCACTCTGGGGCGCCCCCGGGGAGGGAAGATCTGTCAACCCCTGACCTGCCTCCCAGGCTTAGTCAGTCTGCTTGTCCTGGTCCATTTCCCCCAATAGATGGTGGAAATTCACAGCCCATAAATTCTATGGAGTGACCCACCGGGAGCAGCCGCCGTGGCAGGCGGGCATCTGGCAGGGTGCACAGGCTGCTCCATTTCACCCTGGCACATGCACCTGGTCACTCCTCCTCTCCTGCTTTGGTCAACTGAGAATCACAGAGGTCACCTCTCACCACCATCCAAAGCCATCCCTGGCAGGCTCAGGGCTCTGGAGCAAGCCCAGCCACCTTGATTGTGGAGTGGGAATCTCTAGCACAGATGCCTACCGTTCATCAGTGCAGTGGAAGAGGAGAAAATGGGCACTTGACCACTATCCCGTCAGTTGGGTCAGCAGCCCAAAATAGCTCTTATTTCCTTCCCCACGTTCAAAATGGAAATTTCAGGGGGTGTGTAGAGGTCTGGATTCTTATTTTTTTTTTTTCTATAAAGTTTATGACATACCTACTATGTGCTGGATAATTGCATATTTGTTACTTGGTTCCAACTCAGACTTTTGGCCAATTTCTCTTTCTTGATTTGGTCTCCTTCCAGTGCTATGTTCTCCCAAGCTCTGAGCTGATGAGGAGATCTTCAGATAATCTCCCTCTCTTCCTACAATCTCCACTCTCCCAGGACTGCCCTCTTTGTGAGGCTTTGGGAGCTTCCCACATCTGGCCTCAATTTCACCAGTGCAAGCGTGTCTGCACACCTCTCCCATCTTATCTCCCGGGTCCCCTTTTTCACTCCAGTGGGGTGGTCCCCTCATTCTAGCAAGTACCTTTTTCTCTCTGCTGCTGGTTGCCGCCTCCCAACATAGACACATATCTGGCAGAGTTGGGACATTCAGTGGGGGCTGGGGGAGCATGCAACATCTTTGGAATCTGATGGTCCTGGAGTGGATTTTTAAAAATCTAATGTTGAGTGGTAATAGTGGGCTGAGACAGAAGTGAAAGAGGATATCTTGGTTGGGGTTATTTGCATATTTCTTCTCTGCTTGGGCAGAGCAAATTTGAGTTTTGATTATCTGATGGATTAGCTGTATAGTTACTGCTCTTTATAGTAAATTTAACACCTTTTGTTACCTGTCAGTTTTCTTCTTAGCCACTGGACCCATCTGTAAAAAATACATGCATTTCCCCCTTCCACGAAACTCATTGGCTAAAATCCAAGCTTTTCAACAGGATACAAAATTCAGATCTGCTGTTTCTCAAAATTAAGTACACCCTTGTTAGCATGACACTTCAATCTGATCATGCAGTCTCTCTGATTAAAGCCTTCCACTGTTTATTTACTGTCTGCAATATTAAATCAAAACCTTCTAGCATAAACATATCTGACATGTAAACTCATCAAAACCATTCTCTGGCTAAAATGTAATGGCCTTAACATAATATAAAATTCTTATTTTGTCATTCCTCAAGATAGAGATCACATTTTTAAAAAAGCATAGTATATAAATTAGCATGGCATAAGAATTAGAGCCATCGTCACCGTCATCATCACTACCACCACAGCCACATACACACAGCACACTGTGTAAATTAACTCATTTCCCCTTCACAAAATTCCTCTGAGGTATGCATTATCACTGTAAAATTCCAAACCTCTAATATAAAATTCTGATTGAAATACAAAATTTAACTAAGTAATTCATCTGCAGAATCATCTATCAGGAATAAAAATCTCAGCATGTCTCTCACTTAAAACCCTTTATTGGTGAAAATTTAAATGTCTTAGCAAGATGATTTAAAAACGAGATTATGCACCTTCTTAATATAAAGTCTGCACTCCTTAACATATTTACAAATTCAAGCATGTGAATGATTAAATCTTTCAGTGTTCCTGCCTTCAACTCAAAGTCTAATATTCTTGGCATGTTAGAAAAAGCTTAATACTTCTTAACATCAACGTTTAAACTGTTAGCAAGATGAATAAAGGTTATCTCATAATTTCTCTTTAAAACATACAAAAATTCATTTTTATTGCCTATAATGTAACGTTCTAACCGTTTAGCATAAAATAAAAATTTTCACCATGTAATTTACTTGCCAACTGATTGATATGAACCCCTAAATTTCATCAGGTCACTCCTAAAACCCTTTATTAGCTTAATTCCAAACCTATTAGCATGATATAAAATTCTGACCATGTCATTCTCAAAATAAAAAGGTCACACTCCCTTGTAAGATACACGCATGTACTCTTACAACATCTGCTTAAAGCTTTATTCTATCTCTTAATTACCTATGACATAGGGTCTAATTTTTTTTTTTTTTTTTAGCATAGAACAATACATTTTACCAGACAATTTCTCTGACTCCTCTACCCAACACAAAATTTCTCCCTTAAAAATATCTTAATGGGCCAGGCGTGGTGGCTCACATGGGCCAGGCGTGGTGGCTCACAGCTGTACTCCGAGCACTTTGGGAGGCCAAGGCAGGTGGATCACTTGAGGCCAGGGGTTCGAGACCAGCCCAGCCAACATGGTAAAATCCCTTCTCTACTAAAAACACAAAAAATAGCCCAGAGTGCTTAGCGGGGCCAAGGCGGGTGGATCACTTGAGGTCAGGGGTTCGAGACCAGCCTTGTCAACATGGTGAAATCCTGTCTCTACTAAAAGTACAAATATTAGCCAGGAGTGGTGGCTCACGCCTGTAATCCCAGCTACTTGGAGGGTTGAGGCGAGACAATCACTCCAACCTGGGAGATTGCAGTGAACCGAGATGGCGCCACTACACTCCAGCTTGGCAACAGAGGGAGACTCAATCTCAAAAAAAAAAAAAAAAAAAAAAAAAAAAAAATCTTGGCTGGGCGCGGTGGCTCAAGCCTGTAATCCCAGCACTTTGGGAGGCCGAGGCGGGTGGATCACGAGGTCGAGAGATCGAGACCATCCTGGTCAACATGGTGAAACCCGTCTCTACTAAAAATACAAAAAACTAGCTGGGCGTGGTGGCGCGTGCCTGTAATCCCAGCTACATAGGAGGCTGAGGCAGGAGAATTGCCTGAGCCCGGGAGGCGGAGGTTGCAGTGAGCCAAGATCGCGCCATTGCACTCCAGCCTGGGTAACAAGAGAGAAACTCCGTCTCAAAAAAAAAAAAAAAAAAAAAAATCTTAATGGCTGAAATCCAAATTCCTTAGCATGACATAAAAATGTGATCCTGTCATCCCTCAAAATAGTGTCCAAACTTCATGGCATACTATGTACATTTAAATATATAACTCCTCTTTATAAAACCTGCTGTCTATAAATGACCCAACTCCTCAGCATGGAGCCCTGCCTGGGTGCCCTTGTACCCAGGGGGTGGACGCCTCTGCTCAGGAGTGGTCTGATGCTTATTATCTGGTTCATCAAATCCAGACACCTTAACTTAAAATCTGTTTACAGTCCAATATCTTTGGAGACAAAACTCTCATCAGTTTACTCCTTAAAACTCTTCACTGGCTAACATCCAAATGCCTCTGCATAAGAATTCAACAATGAGCTCATCCCCCACTCCAAATAGAACACTGGAATGCCTTCAGCTCTCACATAAAATCACATCTCCTTAGCATGTGAGAAAAATCTGATCAGATCATCTTTATCATAGAAATCCTGTCCTTAAGCTATGCCAAAATGCAGGTGTTGGAACTTCTCAACTGAAAACTTCTCAAAGTTTCTTCATTGCCTGTAACATACAGTGCCAATGACTTAACACAAAATGGAACAGTTCACCATGTACATTTTCTTTAGGAGAGTCTATTAAAAATCCAAAATCTCATTCTGTTACTGCTTTAAGCCCTTTATTGGCTTAAATCTGAAGTTGTAAACATGATATAAAAATTTGATCATGTCATCCCTTAAAATAAAATTCATACTTCCTAGGACAATATATAAAATTTGATCTTACAACTCCTCTTTAAAAGCTTAGTGTCTCTTAATTGTAAATGGAAGAAAGGTCAAAATTCTTAGCATAAACTATGAATTTTATTTTGTAATTTATTGCATATTATTTATCAAGTGCAAAAAACTCACCAGGTCACTCTGTTTGAACTTTGTATTGGCTAAATCAAACTCCTAGGCGTATGCAAAAGTCTAATCATGTTGGAGCCTCAAAATAAATTCCAAACTTTTTTCATATTTGCAATATTGATCATTTAACTCCTCTGATTAAAATCTTTCAACTTTGGTGTCAACATTAATCTCATCTCCTAGGCAAGCTCTGCAGGTTGAAATTGGTACTCCCCCAAGGCAGAGAGGCAAAACGTTTGCGCATGATTGTTAAATTGGTGGCCGTGACTTTTGTTTTACAATTTCCAGTGTTTCCTTCTTGCTTGTAATATGAATCCCAAAGCCATTATTCATAAATATATTTTATCATGTTTTTCTGCACACTTATCTTCCACAAGCAAAAATCTCATCATCACATTTCTTAAAACCCTTTGGCAAAAATCCAGACTCCTTAGCATGATATAAAACTTTGATCCTGACATCTCTCAAAATAAAGTCCAGATTTCTTCCCAGGAAACTCAAATTATGAAACTCGCTTAAAATCTCAATGTGTTTTCATCACTACAAAAAGCCTCACCATCTTAGCAAGGCACCCACTTTTAATCATGGCAGTCCCAGCTTCAAACCTGTCAAGTTCCATGTCTACAACATCAAATCCAAATGCCTGAGCATGAAATGAAAAGGGGACCAAGTATTTCTCACGTTGAAAATCGTTAGATTGCTCTTCTTAAACCATAAAGCTTAAGTTCCTTTCGCACAAAACCAAAACTTTTTCACCATCTACAGTTTCCCACTTTCATTTCCTGTTCCTCATGCTTCCCTCTGAAAAGACTGAGTTTCCCATTCTCCAGCCTCCAAAAGCATTTCGATTTTATTGTTCCCGGATGTTAATTTCTTTCTTTCTCTCAACCAAGTCCCTCTCACGGAATTCATTAATTCATACAGCAGCATGTCCTGATTCTTTTTCTGGGCCAGGCACAGGTTTCGATCCCCATGGAGGGAAATGGAGGCAGACCCACCTTGCAGATCATTACCTGGGAGGAGATGAGGCCCCGCCCTGGAGACGAATACCCTGCCGGAGGTGAGTGGGGGCCTCGGAAGCAGGGCGAGAGCTTCCCTCCACCCCTGCTAACCACTCGCCTCTCTGGGAGGTTTTGGGCATTATTGGGGCCTGTCAGTCCTCCCAGTTTTGGCTTTAGGTGGGCACTACGGGCTTCCCACCTGGCTCCAACTGGCCACCAGCTGGCCCGCCAGAGCCTGGGCCCCACCTCTTCTCTGGACTTTGCAGAAATCATATTCTCAGTTTTTCAAATGTGACTCAATTCTGTTGTTCTCAAATCTCATGACAATTTATTTAAGAAATGTCTACTAATTTGGAAATGCCCACCTTATTAAAAAAAAAGCCCAGAATTTAGTGCACCTGTTTTGGGGTCAGAACTGCCTTTGAGGTCTTCGAGTGGAACCCTCTTCCCCCCAACACTCAGAGACAGACGCCCCAGCCTCACCACCTTCAGTGCCCAGCGCCTCGGTCGGGTCAGCTCCTTGCTTGCCTCTGAGCCAGTGGCCCATTGGGTCAGGGCTGCCAACGTGTGTCTATGAAGGGTTGGGTGTGGGGGGGGCCCTGGGGGGGGGGACAAATCCCTCAGCGAATACCTCTCTCTGTCAGCTCGCCTGTACAGTAAAGGAAATCTGATTTTAAAAATAGAGCTTGGAAGAGGAGATGAGAGGATATTTAGGAGCAGAGTTGAGCCTGGGGCGGGGGGCGGGGGGCGGGGGTGGAAGAATTAGGGTAGAGGTGAGGACAGGGGAGAAGGGTGGGAGGCCGGGGGGCTGTGGAGGAAGGTGAAGCTGGTGAGAATCGGGGAGGCTACGAGGATGGGATGGGGAAGAAGGGAGATGTGGGTTCTCTGGAATGCTGGCCATGCCCCTCTCGTGGCCTCCAGAAATGAGCCCAGTCACACCTGGGGCCCTGGCTATCCGGGCTGCCAGGATGGGTGTCAGGCGAAGACCCCTGTCCATCTTGGCCTCCCTGTAGGTGATGCTCGGAGCTCCTGGAGTTTCAGGAACATAGCTACGGGTCTTAGGGGTGAAGTGGCCTCAAAATGAATATCCTCTAGTAACTCCCTCTACTACCTGGCTTGCTCTGGCCTCCTGTGGATGGAAGGCGTAGCGTCATGGTGAGGGTGGGCAGGCAAGGACCCTGGGCGGGTTTGTTTTTATTGATTGTTGTTATTTATTGATTTTGTTGAACTCATGTCAAGGTTAAGATGTGTCCATGGCAACTTGGGAGCCTTCCTGTTCATACCTGTTCCCTGGTATGAACAAATGTCAAGGACAGGTCATTCCTCTGGTGCAACTTGCTAGGTGGGAGTGGGTGAGGAGGATGGTGAGATTCTTGGAGGCTTCCTGAGGTCTCAGGAGGAGCTTGGGTTGGGTCCTGGGGGTCCTAGTGGACTGTGGAGTCTGCAGGGGCAGCAGCCTGCCATAGCTCATGTTAGAGTCCCTACCCCTGGGACCCCTCAACCCTGCACACTCCTGACCTGTGGCTAAAGACGACATGAGCCTTACGGGGTGGGAGGCCACTGGCATCTCGGCCCAGGGCAGCCCAGATTCGGACACTCCCCGTCTACTCCTATGGTCTAAACTGAAGTGCTTGAATGCCAGGCCCCGTGGGCCTTGAACGTCATTGCAGTGATGGGGAAACTGAGTCTTTGGAAGGAGGAACAGGGAGTTACAGTAGAACTCGGGTGTCCCCAGGGCATCTCTAAATCCCAAACCACCCAGCAGGGTGGGCTCTTCTGCAGGGGAACCCCCAGCCCCTCACCTTCCTAAGCCGTTGAGGTGACGGGCAGCGCCCGGGCCCCGCAGTGCTCTTGTGCTGTGTCCCTGCCCCCTCCACGCTTGACTGGCAGCTCCAGGGGGCCGCTGGATCACTCTGCCCAGAATAACCCTGGGAAGGGGACTGTGCCGCCTGTGGGAGGGGCTGTGCGAGGGGTCACGGGTGAGCTTGTCCTTCTCTTGCCCAAATCAGTGGGGCCAATCAGCTGCTCCTTAGGCTGATCTTGCCTTTCAAGGCAAGCGGACAGGGACAGGCCTGCACCAGCTTCCTAGTCTAGACGGGCACCGACTGTAAGCATGAGCTTCCTCTCCCAGTTTCCCCATGTCTGCAGGAAGAGTTTGGGCGGTGGTCTTCTCACTGTGCTCCTGTAGCTCTGGGGTTCCTAAGAGCGGCCTGTGAGGGACTGCTGGGAAACAGTAATGAGGGGAGATGCCTGGCCCAATAGGTGGAGCTCAGGGACATGCATTCCTGCCTCAGTTCTACCAGCTGCTCTTCTAAATTGGGGTCATCGTATTATTTCATTTAAACAGAGGTTGCCATATCTGAGCAATGGTTCAAAGCACAGACTGTGGTCTCTTCTGATGCTTGGCTTGATAGGGGTCTAAGAGTGGAACGTGCTCGTCTCGGGTGGGCTCTCTACCCTCCTGGTGGGCTGCGTGGACAAGCCCGGAGGCTGCAGGCCTAGGAGTGCAGCTGTTCTTAGGGTGGGAAGGCAAGTAAGGAGAGCCCCGCCTCGGGGCCTGCTGGAACTGGAGGGAAGCAGGAGGCGGATGAGAGGCTGGCTAACCTTACAGAGCCTCAGTTTCCCAACCTACAGAGAGGCAGGAGCACCTCCTTTCGAGGGAAGATGGGCATGTTAAGTCCTTTGTAAACTGTAAATGCCTTGCATCAGGATTCTTATCAGTACTTCCAGAACACCCACTGTAATTGTAATGGTCAAGATTTGGACAGCATTTCATGCACGGTGTCAACTTTAATCATCCCATTAACCCCACGAGGGGATGATGCCCTGCTTTGAGAGTGAGCAAACCAGAGTCCCGGGGTGAGTTGCTCTGGAGCCATAATTATCAGCGACAATGGTGCATGGACCCAGGCCATGGGACCTTCCCCAGGAAGGGTAGGCTGGTGGCTGGATTTGGTGAGGGGGATGTGCGGAGATGGAATGTGACCCAGATGGGCCGATTAAATGTATTTATTAAATACATCCTAGTGAGTCTCTGAGTGTCTGCTCTGTGTCAGGCACGGTTCTAGCCACTCACCCCTGAAACTGACTTTGCTCCTTACGAGTTGGGGGATGTGCCGCCGTCTTACAGAATTAACTGGGGTTCGGAGGGCAAGGTGCTGGCACAAGGCCCCGGAGAGACAGAGGCAGGGTTTAAAGTCAGATTTCTCATCTCTCCCCTAGTAGACGGTGAGGGCAGGCGCAGATACCCAGAGTGCGGTTGGCAGTTGCCATCTGGGGACCTGTCGGGCCAGAGATGCCAGCTTCATCCCATGGCACTGATACGGCCAGTCTTGTGGTCTGAGGGGTGTCCACACCACAAGAGTGCGGGTCTCAGTGTCTGCCTCCATCTCCCCCAGAGGTGTGTGCTGTCACTCCCAACTCGTTCTGGCTTATTTGGTGTTGGAGGAGGGAGAAGACAGCTGGCCCAGCACCTGCTAATTATAGCTGCTGAAGTATGTGAATCGAGGCCTTGAGTACTCACCACCATGTCATGGTTTTTTCTTACAGACAAATGAATCCTTTAACTCTTCTCCTGAGTGCCAGCCCATCCCGTTCACTGCCCCCGCTCCCCCACTCTGGGGGAGGTCGACCTGGGACCTCCACCCCACGTCTTACCTTGGCTGCAGGCGCTCAAGTGGATCTCCTCCGGTCCGGTGCGACTCGAACCTCGCCGCTTTCTGAAAAGTTATTGAACACATTTGTTTCTTTAATTATGGAAGTCCGGTCTTCTTGACATGCATACATTTTCCACAGTGGCAACCACAGTGCACACACAGCCTTCCAGCCTGCTCTGCTTGCCTGCCTCTCTGTTGTGAGCTGCTTTTCTCCATGTGGCTACCTTGGGGACCCCCGTGATGATTCCTGAGTGCTTACTATATGCCAAGCGCTCTTTTCAGCGTTTTACAGCTTTTCACTGGTTCAGTCCTTCTGAGAAGCTGTGAGGGCCTTCCTTTCATGACCCCCATTTTTCAGAAGAGGAAACCAAGGCCCTGGCTCATACATCCACCCACCTGGGCCCACGCTCACTGAGGCAAGGCCTCAGTCCGGCCAGAGCGTCAGCCTCACTGGCGTCCTCACTGGCCTGGGCCCTGCAGCCCTGCTTCTCAACTCCTGGAAGCCTCCTGCTCTTGGTGGATAACCATTTTGCTCTCTAGCAAATGGATAGGAACATTTATGTGAGTCTGGCTTGGTGGCGTGGCTCACGCCTGTAATCTTAGCATGTTGGGAGGCCAAGGTGGGCAGATCATTTGAGGTCAGGAGTTTGAGACCAGCCTGGCTAACAGGGTGAAATTCTCTGTCTACTAAAAATACAAGAATTAGCCAGACATGGTGGCGTGCGCCTGTAATCACAGCTACTCGGGAGGCTAACGTAGGAGAATTGCTTGAATCTGAGAGAGGGAGGCTTCAGTGAGCTGAGATTGTGCCACTGAACTCCAGCCTGGCCAACAGAGTGAAACTCCATCTCAAAAAAAAAAAAAAAAAAAAAAAAAAAGTTTATGTGAGTCTGACCCGGGCTGTGCTGGACTCTGAATAAATCTCTTAGCTGCCTGAGCTGCAACTCCTTCCTCCTGACCCCGCCACCTGCATGGGCCATTCTGAGTGGCTGCATCCCAGGCTGGTCATCCCAGCCCCGGGGGTTTTTGTCCTGCTCCCTTATAGTAATCTGCAGTGGTGACTCCTTTGTCTCATTCTCCCTTGGCACACAGTAGGGCTGCTGGCAGCAGGCGAGGCCTGGGACAAGGGCTCAGAGAGTTAGGATGCCCTTTGGCCATGCCACTAAATGACCAGTTTCTCTTCTCGCCCTCCCAGGTGGTCTGAAGGGGAGACGGCTGCCTTCTCGTGGGAAGGGAGCAGATGCCTGGCCCAGGACCCCATCAAAAGGTCTGAAAAACGATATTCTTCTTCCTAATGTGTAAATTTACACCAATAGCAAATTTGTAGATTTCCTTAGAATGGAACTAACTGGAGCCCTTCATTTTGCAGCTGAGGCTCACTGCCCCCAGTGGGCAGTGGGTCAGGGTGTTTCTGAGGCCAGGTCGTGGCCCAGCCCTGCTGCCCCCAGGATGACCCCTGGCTTGGAGGGGTGTGGGGCCCTGTGAGTCTGACGTTGAAGAAGACCAGCCTTCCAGTCTCGCTTGGTGGCCTGTCAGGTATGCGCGCTCTTCTCTCTTCCACCCAATACCCCCTTTGGGGAGGCGGGGTCTGAGAGGAGTTGGGGGTCATGTAACCTTAACATAGTATATTATCCCCAAATCCAATACCCCTGTTACTCTTGTCTGTCTGCCATGTGAAACCAAGGGCGGTGTTAACGTTTATCACCATGATATACAGATGTGCGTGGGGACATCTGGGATGGGGCTCAGGGGTCCACCTGGGGGTCAGAGAGGGCAGACTCTGCTTAGTGGAGATGGATGACTGTGGACGTGTGGCTATAAATCACCCTCCCCTCTCACACAGGGTGGGGATGGGAACTTTCAAGAGTTGCCTGGATTGATACCTTAAAGGAAATAAAATATAAAATGCTTGGCACATAGCAATGCTCAACACACGCAGAAAAGGCACTTACTTTAGGTGGGTCTGCCCCTAAATGGCCCTTTTGCAAGCCCTTCTCATTTTTTGGAATCCAAAGGGAAGACGAGGGAACAGGGTCGGGGCAGAGGGGAAGGGCGCCGTTAGGTTGCACAGGGCATTTTCTCAAGGCCACAACATGTCTCTTATGGGCACTGCCTGGGTTTCTGTAGGCTTTGAGAGGAATGGCGTGTTGGATGCAGGTGACCTCAGTCCGGGCCCTGCATTTTTATTTACCATAAAAATATTTTGTGGCTGGGCGCGGTGGCTCAAGCCTGTAATCCCAGCACTTTGGGAGGCCGAGACGGGTGGATCACGAGGTCGAGAGATCGAGACCATCCTGGTCAACAAGGTGAAACCCCGTCTCTACTAAAAATACAAAAAATTAGCTGGGCATGGTGGCGCATGCCTGTAATCCCAGCTACTCAGGAGGCTGAGGCAGGAGAATTGCCTGAACCCAGGAGGCGGAGGTTGCGGTGAGCCGAGATCGCGCCATTGCACTCCAGCCTGGGTAACAAGAGTGAAACTCCGTCTCAAAAAAAAAAAAAAAAAAAAAAAATTTTGTATTTGCCGGGTGCAGTGGCTCACACCTGGAATCCCAGCACTTTGGGAGGCCGAGGCATGTGGATCACCTGAGGTCAGGAGTTCCAGACCATCTTGGCCAACATAGTGAAACTTCGTCTTTACTAAAAATACAAAAAATTAACTGTGCGTGATGGCACCCACCTGTAGTCCCAGCTACTCGGGAGGCTGAGACAGGGGAATCGCCTGAACCCAGGAGGTAGAGGTTGCAGTGAGCCGAGATCGTGCCATTGCACTCTAGCCTGGGTGACAGAGCGAGACTTTGTCTCAAAAAAAAATTTTTTATTTTTTTATTTTTTTTTTATTTTTTTTATATTTGCAAAACCATGGCAATCACCCCAAGGTTTTCACAGGAACCAAAGCCGGTCCAAAATAAAATAGCGGAGCTTTGCGTGCAGAAAGGCGATTAAGAGCGAGGCACGGCGGCCGAGGGCTGGTTAACCTGTCTCACATTTCTTCCGCACAAAGTCATGGTTGAAAATAGGTCTCTGCCTGGCAGAGGGGAAAGAGGTTCTCGAAGGCCCCTGTCTGCATTAGCTCAGTGAGCAGGGAGACATTGAACCCACGAACCAATTAGTGGCTTGTGCAGATGGAGACAGACTGAGCAGGACGGGGGTGCCGACTGATCCGTGGGTAAAGGCGGCTGAGTTTTGTGTTCTTGGGATCTCACAGTCTCAGTGCCTCCCTATGTAGGCGGAGTATGCTTGTCACATCCTTGTCACACGTGTAACTCGTACCTGTTTGAGGATTCTGAGAGCCTGTGACGGCTGCAGGGAACCTGAAGCTTAGTGTGCAAGCAGGAGTGGGGGACAGGGGAGGGGTTCTGACTGGGAGCCAGGGTGCCTCCTCTGGACATGGGGGTGGGCAAGGGTGGGCAAGGTTGCTTCCCGTTCCCCTGGAGCTGGAAGGTTAGAAACGGCAGTGCCGTTTAGCCACAGTCCCTGTGGGTTAGAGTCAGGAGGAAACATGGCAGTCGTGTGTTTTGCACAGGAATCAAGCTGTCAGGGGTGCGGGGAGGCCCCAAGCTCCGTGCCAGCAAGCCTGCTTGGCTGTGAACTCGAGCCGCCGGCCGCAGCTCTCCAGAGCTCCTCGTCCCCACGCCTGGCCCCATCTCATGTCACATTCCCCCGAGGTCTCATTCCACTCGGCTAATCTCCAAGAACTCCGGCCAGGGCATTGGCTTTCGGGTCCTCTTAAAGACCAAAGAGGAAAGCGCTCCCCCGTGGGTGCCAGGCAGCTTGGGAGGGATCTGGGGCCGTGGGTGGTGAAATCACAGCCCCGGGCACACACCTGCTGGCCCCATGTCACTGACAGTCTGCTCAGAGGCTTGGGGCTCCAGTTAGAGCACATAAATGTATTTTTTAAAAAAGATATTTGGATAAAATAAATTCGCTGTGTCTGCAGAACTTGCTCTGGGCATATGTACCCACTCCCAATCCGTCAGCAACCACACTCTTTGCTTTGTATTTGTAAAAACAGAAACAAAAACAACCCACAAGCGAACAAACAAGTTAACCCCTCACACACAAAATGCTTATTCTAATTATGCAAGAAATGCATTGATAATTAATACACTCATTAGTAAAAATCAGACACCTCGTATAAAGCCATCCTAATGCTTCCCTCAGTCCCTCCCCAGCACCCTCAGCAAATGAACTGCTCTTCTCAGTTTCAGGTGTCTGGTTCCAGATGTTTTCTCTGTGCATTTGCCTATGTAGATGCATATACCTCTAAAATCTATTACTTTCTTTATTTTTTACATAAACTATATCATAGTGTATATATCCTCTACAAGCAGCTTGTGTTTCTTCCTTCATGAATCTGCTTAGAGATAATAAAGATCACTGTTCCTTCTAATAGCGCCCCAGTGTCCTGTGAGCTGTGCACATCGGAGTTCATTTAATCACCTTACTGCTGGCATGAAAGCCTCAGGTCTTTTTCCCAAGTGGGGGCAACTTGTGGAGGCAGGTGTAAGTAATTTCTGAGATTTGGGTTTGGGGAGTGGGCTCATGAGGGTGTATGACATTATTACAGATGAATATATGAGCGCATGAATTAGCAAAATAAAAGGGGGCCTTTCTGGACCAAGGATGAGACAGTGTTTATGAACAAAGGATAATGATTAATCCAGTTCTGCACAAAATACTGAGGTCCATTAGAAGACAATAGGTCTTGGCTGTTCATTCTTTTTAAGAGCTGTTTAATATTCCGTGGTATGTATACACCATTGTTGATTTCACCCTCTTCTACTGCTGAAAATCCCAGCTGAAAGTGCTCTGGGGGAGGAGAATGAGCAGACAGAAGCTTTGGTCACGGTCCGAGCTGTCAGAGTGGGTCACCGATTCATAGGTGTTCATTAAGTCATTTTTTAAAAAAAGAGTACAGAAAATAAAAATGATCTTTATGCAGATCAGTGAGGAAGCGTGTCACAAACTGAGGTTTTAGTTAGTACGATTCTGCTCAACTGATGCCTGATAAAAAAGACCTAAGCTGTTTCCACTTTTTCTGTTGTTACCAGTGACACTGCAGTGAGCATTCTTGCAGCTAAATCTGTAAACACATCCTTGTCTCTTCCTTTTTCCTGGCTTCTTAGAGATGATGTGGTGGGTTACAACTGTTCGCAAAAGTTTTATTTTCATGGAGGGATCTTTCTAAAATGGCATTTCCACCTTGTTCCTGTCTTGCTTTAAAGCCTCCATCTGACTTTCTGGAGCTTCTGGGAGGGAGTCCAAAAAAATCAGGCCTTATCCTGGCATGGAAGACCCTTTAGGGTCTGGCTTGGAACTCGACAGCCTCAGCCCGTCCCCACTCCCGTTCCCTCTAGGTGCACCTCGCCTCCACGGAGCTACCTGCTCCTCTCAGGGTTCCCCGCTTCTTATGCTTTGTGTGGCCATGCCTTTTTAGGCAGCTTCTCTGTGGCCTTAAAGAGCAGGCTTGCAATATTTCTGTTGGGGAGCCCAAAGTTACCTGTGGCCCCAAAACACCACGTTCAAAAGCACAGCAAAGCCCTGTCCCTGGAATTGGGATGCCTCATTGACATGCTCTTCCCAGTTAAAGGGAATGTTTTGCATTTTCCTAGAACTGATGAAAATATTAATCACCCCCTTCCTTTGTCCCTTTCTAGAAGCCCTGGGCACCCCCAGTGTTGCCTGGATCTGACTCTGCCTCAGTGAAAACTGCCTCGAATTCTTTCTTGCACCGACGGGCAGATGGGCGATGTCCGAGGACCATGGGGTCGGCCCTGTGGCGCGGTAAGTCTGCAGTGTGGTAAAGCTGCAAACAGCCTTCTGGGTGGGGTCAGGCTGGCACCCCCCACCCCCAAACTGCCCCAGCCTGCTCCATGCCAGGTTTCCCTGCCTGCTGTGTGCAGGGCCCCAGAACCCAGGGTTATGGGGTCCACGGGCAGGAGTTGCATCTCTGTGTTGTGAGTTCCGAGGATGACGTTTGGGCATGATTATAGCTTGGAAATGGCTGATTGCCATTATGGCTCCTCCTTGCCAGGGTCTGGACCCAGAACAGGAGAAGGACATGTGATGACTGGAGTAACGGTGAGGGGCTCTGGGGTAAGACAGGGCTGAGAGGGAGCACGTGGACCTCTGGGACAGAGTCATCTTCTAGAAAGAGTGCTGGCTTTGGGGGAGAGGGGCTATGAGGCCAAAGCAGCATCCCCCTTGGGAGCTTGTCAGGAGTAGCAGGAGCCACTGGCAGTGTTCTGGGCTTTTGGTGCATTTTTTTTTTCCCTCCCAGGGGAGAGGAGAAGAGGCATTGCAGGGAGCGAGCCACCCTGAGCACAGACCCAGCTATGAACAGATATCGGGCTGTGTGTCCTTGGCAAATCCCCAAGTGTTTCTGTGCCTTGGTTTCCTGATATTAAAAAAAAAAAAAAAAAAGACTCATAATCTCTCTCACACAGGGCTATTGAGATCTCAATGAGGAAATAACGCAAATAAATCATCCAGCACAGTAGCCAACACACAGTCCCCGGCAAAACTCGGTGGCTCTCTGCATCTTATCCCGTCACAAAATGCTTAACCCCTGCTGGAGCCAGGCAGCCGCTCCCTTTCAGGGCAGGGAGACCCGACAGAGGAAAACAGAAACTCCAGAGAGAATGCAAGGAGGAAATAAAAGCTGGCGCTTTATCCCCTCCCAGACACCTTCCCAGGAAAACAAATGTGCACCTTCCCCAACACCTGGGGCCAGCTTGGCTTTCCCGAAAAGTTTGGGGAGAGTTTATTTTTATGTAAATAACATGTAAAAAGTCAGAGTGCTCCTTGGGCAGATTTTTTGAGGCTCATATTTTATAGACTTTGGCAAGGGTCACTCAGAAGGAACAGTGGTTACAGTCTCCAGAGGTTCATAATTCCTGGAAGAACTTCTGGCTAAACCTGACTTCTCCCGAATTTCACAGAAAATTCTCCCTGGGCTGGGCTCAGCCTAAATGAGCTTTTTGTGTGTTGGTCCAGCCTTACTAGTGGGAGTATGACTTGCATGTTGCCTTTACACAAAAGTGAAACTCCTCGGCCACTGTGCACAAAGGCCCCACTCTCCAAAATGTTTGACTTATTTACTTGGGAGTGTGAGAACCCGATCGGGCATGTCTGACACAGGGGATATTTCTCCGAGGCTCTATGTAGGGCTGCCCAGGTCTCTGCAGTTTTTTCCTGTGCTTCAGGCAGAAACCCATGTCCTAACTTCCTCCAGCACAGGGCAAGGGACCCAGAGCAAAAAGCGGGGTAGGGACACTGTCCCCTCCTTGGCCGGCAAGGGCTAAAGAGCTTGCTACCCCATGGCGGTTGCCTCTAAATAGGGATTTGTGTGGGTGACTTTTCGCATCTATTCCAAAGCCCTTCAGAACCATTTCTGCACCACCAGCTATCCTGAACCAGAAATCCCTGTTCACAGAATTTCCTAGGTGGGTGCCTCTTGTTCTGCACCTCTCCCCCATTTATGTAAACGTCACTCTCCCAAACATTTTCACACCAGCAGTTTCAGATCGACCCTTTCACAGCTTAAAACAGCAGCACCAAAAAAACCAGCATAAACGGAGGCTCTGAGAAACCATTTTTCCTGAAGGGCTTGCAGTGCCCAACCGAGCTGCCAGGGCCGTCTGTCTGTCTGTTCCTGGGAAGGCAAACCAGCTTGCACGCTCCACCAGCAACACGATGCTGCCCCCCCACGGCGGGTCAGGGCAGCTGTGGCGACCCCAGGGCTGATAGATTGGGTTGTCAGGCGCGGGATAATGAGGCGGCAGTGAGGAAGGGCTCTATCCTTTAATGACTCTGCCCTCCTCGAAATTTTTCTGCCCCACAGAGGTGCATCTCTGCTCCCGGGGACCCTGGGCATTTCACAGACAAGGAGCCCTGGCTGGCCTCACAGCCATCCTCCGCATGCTTACACGCACACACACACACACACACACACACACGCACACACACATGCTGAGTGCCTGTGCTGGGAACAAAGGCAAGAAAACTCCTTTAGAAACTGCAGAACAGAGGCTTGTCTAGCAGAGGTCCCCCTGATAAAGGCTCTGTCCACCCACAGTTCCTGGGAACTGAACCCCTGTGAATGGGCCAGAAAAGGTAGCTTCTGACCGCAGTGTGGGCTGCATTCATCAGCAGGCAGGCCCCCCAGCCCTGCTGCTGTGTGAGTCCCCAGACCATCCCAGTCACAGTCTGGCAGCTGGTTGCCTCTGTGGTTGCTGCTCAGCCTCCAGATAAGGGCCCCTGAAACTGCCAGACCCCCTCCCTCTACTCATTTCATCACTCTGCCAGCCTGTTGTCCCAGAAGGGACACAGGTCAGCTCTGTGGGCCCAGGAGCCAGGGAAGGTGCTTGGCTACTCTAGGTGTCCTGGCCCTCGAGGGGGGAGTTGGCCACAGGACAGTCCCCACCTCCCCCTACCAGCCCTGGGCACCCACCCCCATTCTCTGCTCCTCTCCCTCATTGCCTCAATGGGACAGAGGCACCCCGCTAACCATCTCTGTGCCTTTGCCATTTAGCCCAGGGCAAGCTACTTGGGAGAGGCTGCACAGCCTTGCCCTGACCCCTACCTGGTCCCCTTTGGCCACCTCGCTCACTTGCCCGCTCGCCTGCCTGGGAGTTGATGCTGTGGGAGCTTCTTAAAGGCCTAAACATGTGGGCTGCCAGCCCGGGCAGGAAGCCACGCTGCAGCCTCCTCGGCCATGCACCAGCCTGCCTGTCTCGGCTCGGATGCCTCCTGTAACAGGGAGCTCCCTCTCCCCCCAAGCAGCCTGCTCGGGGTTCGCAGAGGGAGCTGCTTTGCCAAGCCCTCCCCTGCCCTTTGCGTCTGCCTTCTTGGCTGTGCGGCAGTCCCCTAGCCCCCTCTGCCCTCCGATCTCTGCAGGCTGCAGGCTCCCTCTCTTTTCAGTCCTCTCCTTTCCGTGCTGAATGGCAAAACCCCCCACCAATGGTGGAAACAGGTTTGGGGGCCTCTAGACCTCTGCTAACACCTCTGCCTCTGCTCCTCTAGACCTGGGACAGAGCCCTTTGCCCTGCTGTTCTGCAAGAAGCCCAGGGGAGGGCGCGGTGCTCCCCTCCTGTGACCAGCCGCTCCGTGTCTATCTGTTCAGCAGCTTCTGAGCCTTCTCGGGTTGTTTTATGGCCCCTTTTCCAGTTGCCAGGGAGAACGCTCTCTATGCAGCCCCCTGCCTTTTCTGCAGGAGCTGCTGGACTCCCGGCTAGCCTGTTCAGCCCTGTAGCAGAAGCAGGAGCAGCAGCAGACAGCCGCGGCAGGGCTGGGGTCCCCTGAGCCAGACAGACCGGCTCTCTAGCTGCAAGAAAATTCCCTTTACTTTTCAGAGCCTCGGCTTTTCCCCTGTGAAATGGAGATGAGAGTTTCCCCGTCACCGGCTTGAAGTGAGGACTAAATGAGATAAGTGTAGCCTTGCACACATCAGACACTTCATCAGTGCTTGTGCAGTAGACGGTGGGACCCGGGGGGAGCGAGGTATGTAACAAGTGTCGCAAGAGAGAAAGCAGCCTGGCCTTTCAAGACCCTACTCCGAATACAAACGGGGACCTCTCCTGGCAGAGTCCCCTCTGCTGGCTTAATTGCACAAACCAAGTCAGCCGGAGGCAGCCCCTGGCCTGAGGAACTCACAGTAGATGCAGCAGGCAGCAGAAATGACATGCAGAGCCCACATCTGCATTTAATAGACCGAGAATTTGTATTGTATATAACAGCACGAGGGGTAAAGCATGAAGGCATAAAGGAACATTTTTCCCAGCAGCTCCCTTGAAGGGCCAGTTTAGACAGGGAGGGGTCTGGGGAGGAGAAACCCAGCGGGGTCCGGGCATCCCGTAGACTATGGAATAGACACCCATCCACACACTCGTCCCCCAAGCCACCGCAGTGTGCCTACCTTCCCCGGGCCCAGTCCCGAGCGTGAGGCTGGGATGAAGTGATGCCGGTGGCTTCCTGTCCTCGAAGCTCAGTCGGTCTGGTGGGGGAAAGAAACAGGGACTAAGTCACTGGAAATCGAGGCGATCAAGAGGGGATGAAGGCGTGGAGATTTATGGAGCCCCATCTTGGAGCCAAGTCCAGAGCTGGGTTGTCTGCAAAGAACTCACCCGGGCAATAACCCTGCACAGTGGCCTCATGGGCTCCATTAGATTGATGAGGAAACTGAGGCACAGAAAGGCAAAGTCCTATACTCACCGTCTCTTCAGCTGGTGTGAGGCCGGGCCAGGATGGAACCCCAGACTCTCCGAGGCTCCCCACCACACCCTGCTGCTGAAGGCTGCTCAGCGAGCCTGTGCCGAGTGCTGGGGGGGTGTGGGTGGGCAGGGGACGGATTGATTAGTTATAAGCACCTCCCAGCGGTGCTTGAGATCCCAGCTCCTCTGTGGCCCAATCCGTTTGAAGGGCAGATTCAAAATTAGGTGGTAGCACCTATGGGCAGAGGCTTATGAAAATGGCATTATTAACCTGATGTGGAGAGGGCCCTGCCTGTCTGCAAGTAGATTGCAGATAGAGACAGAGGGGGCTGGGCTTGTTTGTGTGGACAGTGAGTTAGAGAGGACGCAGAACATCCAGGGGCCCTCCGGGGCTTCCGGACAGGGAGAACCAGATCTGGAGGGGCTGGGGCTGGGCAAGTGGGAGAGGGAAGAGGGGGCACGGCTTCAGGGTGGCCCCGGCACGCCAGGGAAATGCCCCAGGCTGGGCTTGGACGAGGCTGTGCAGCCTTGACTCTGACACAGACAGGGACCATGGCCCTCCCCGCACCTCGGTTTCCCATTTGGGAGATAAGAGATGGAAACTAAACACCATTTCCAGAAAAGCCCCCGTTCCCACCACCTTCCCGGCCCCCCTCTTCCCCCACCACCACGATCGCGGTTGCCAGACACCTGTCTGCTTGTCAGAGCAATATTCAACAGGAGAGTTCCTTCCGTTCCTTCCTGGAGGGAGAAGGGAGAGGTGTGGACGGGGAGAGGGGAGGGGAGAGGTGCCCCCCCGCCCCACTCAGAGAGGCCGCTGAGCGGAGTTCTGCATGGGTAGGAGTTGGGCCACCGAAGATTTGTGCCAACTCACGGTGCGGTGGAATCAGACAGTCTGAATTCTTCAGACACCAGCCAGGCGTCTGTGGCGCCCCCACGTGCCACAAGGGGGCTGCCTGGGCCACATTTTTGAGCCCGAAAAGTGAGGAGGGGGACAGGCCAGAGGGGCCGGCGCTTTTGCTCAGGCAGCGGCGCTTTTAACTGCGACAGATGCGTGCGGTCCAGGGGAGCCAGGGAGCCAGGGAGCCCGGGGAGCCGAGCCGGGGCTGGGGGCCGGGGGCCGGGGGCCGGGGGCTGCCGGGCGGGGGGAGGTCGCGGCGGGGGGCGGGGGCTGCAGGGCGCGCCCCTCCCTCACGGCCGGCTGCGCTGCAATGCAGCGGGCTGCGGGAGCTGTCCCGGAGCGGTCCTGTCCGGTGGCTCTCCAAAGTGGGGAATGAGACGAGGGAGGGCGGGAGCGCTGGCTTCCAGGCGCTGCGTGGTGGCCGGGCGCCCAGGAAGCCGAGGGGCCAGAAAGAGAAGAGTGGGGGAGGAGGCCGGGCGTGGCGGCCGGACCAAGGGGTAGAGGGAGGTGGGTGTGGAACTGGGGGGCGCTTGCCCAGCTTGCAGCCCGTCAAGGACGGAAAGGAGGGCTCCAGAGACACTGGGAAGAGTGTGAGGCTGAGCAGAGCCAGAGCGGCTTGGCACACAGTTTTAGGGTAAAAGCATCAACTCTTATCTTTCAAAAAAATAAAAATAAAAATAAAGTAAAAGCCAGAAAAAAGAAAAAAAAAAAAGAAAAAAAAGGAAAGCATTTGAAAGCTAGACAGCTGAATCCTTCCCAGCATGACTGAGCTGGCCACCCCAGAGTCTAATGGGACACCGTTGTCCCAGTAACCAAAGTGGGACCAGGGTCCCAGGGAAGGGCTCGTCAGGCACCGCTCCGCCTTGAAGAGAAGTACCCTCAGGCCCTTTTCCAGCCAGGGAAGGGCCTTGGGGTCAGGGAGGGACCTGGATCGCTTGGGAAGGTGGGCTGGGAGTGAGGGTGGGCTGAGGAGCGCTGGGGGGGTTTCAAGGGGTCTCTGGGCTTCTGCAGCAGTCTGCACCCTGGTACATCTTCCTCAGTCCACTGAACATAGAATGATTCTCTTCTCTCTGGATCCAGCCCCACTGGTTCCCCTTTCACTCTGAAGGGTTTGCCCCCTGTGAATCAGTTCCCTGCTAGCTGGCAAGCTTTCTCTCATACCCCAGGCCCCTTTGCTCTTGTAAACGGCAGCCTCCACCCCCAGCCCTTCATCTCCTGCACTGTATGTTCACTTGTTGATTTAAAACTCCCTTTATTATAGGAAATTTCAAACAAAGAAAGTAGAGAAAATAGTACATATTTTTACACAGTTTGCTCAATTTTCATATTGTCATCACCCAGAAACAGTTGCCATCAAACCCTGGCCCCTCTTGTTTCATCTGAACACTAAACTCTCCCTCTGCTCCCACGCCTCAGCTCCTACCCCTGGACTACTTCCAAGTAAATTTCAGAACCATATTGTTTTCTCTGAGCATTTTTTGTTTGTGTTTATAAATAAGAAGCTTTCCTTTCTTAAAAATATAACCACAATACCATTATCACAGATAAAAAAAATTAATAGCATCTCCTTAACATCATCCAACATCTCTGCAGCATTCAAATACTCTCGATTGACTCATAAATTTCTTTTACAGTTGGCTTGGTCAAGTCAGTGTTGAAAGGATCTCCTGCTTTTTCAAGGGGATCTGGGGCTCTAGAAGGTAAGTAGGGCCACAAATTTAGGGGTTGAATATCTGCCTGGACCTTAAATGAGAAACCCAATCTCAGCAAACCTCAATGTTCTCACTGCAAAATGGGGGTAAGTTCTGGGTCTCTGCTTGGGTCCTTGGGAGGGTTAGAGCATTAAGCCCTGAAGCCCCCAGCCTCATGCCTAATACGTTAGAGACACTCAGCAAACAGTAGCTGCTAGAGTAATTCTTTTTCCCAGAAATCTTTAAAGGGAAGTTGGGCAGGGGGAGGCAGGCAGGCAAAACACAGCTGGCCATCGTCCATAAAACAAAGCTCCTGGCAGCCCAGGCTCCCTGAGTGATTAAAACAGCACTTGCACCCATCCCCAAAAGGGGAGCCTACAGCCGGGGATCTGGGTTCGCTTGGACCTCCTGGCTCACCGTTCAGCTGCCTGACCTCAGCGGTTGTGACCTGGGACCAACAGGGGACCCCCGCAGGTGCCTATCCACTAGATGGCACTCTCTACTCTGAGTCTGGGGGGACCACCACCCCAAATCACTTTGGCCACTGCCCAGCCCTGGGTGCTGCCGGAGAAAGCACACCACTAAAACATCACAGATAATTTCTAAAAAGCACTTCTCAACATGTCATGCAAGATGCGGTGGCTTTTTTTCCTTGCATAAATCCCAACCAGATTGCAGAAGCAGAGGGAATGAACATTTAATGACTTTGCTGAGGCCAGACACGGGTATGTCTCCACTCTCTTTAAATCCTCACCCTGGCAACATCTGATTTCCCTTTATTTTACAGACTAGGGGACTTTGAGAGGTTAGTAACTTGCCCAAAGTCGGCTGGGAAGCAAGACCCAGGATTCCAACTCAGGTCTGTGTGATTCCTCTGCAAAATGGAGAGGTGGAAGGATGGATGTGAGGTCTGTGGAGGGATGGATGGCTGCATCAAGATGCACGCATAGCTGGAGAGATGGCTGGCCACCTGATGAAAGCTGGTAAGACGGATGAGTGAACTGAAGCACAGGTGGTGGAAGGAGAGAGGAATGAGACAGAATAGCCAATTTCTCACCAAGATCAAAGGCTTACTTGATCTTTGAAGAGAGGTTCCCTCTGAGTGGAGCTTGCTGGTGAAGCTCCTGCCTTCTGTTCTGCCTCTGAGTGCACTGGCTGTGGGACAACAGGTGGGATGGCAGCTTACAGGGACCAAGTCCCAGCGGTGGTGCTCCGTGAGCTGCTCAGTGGCAACTCCCTGTCTCTGCTCTTTTTACACAGTGCTGAGGAAGAGCAGGCATCTGCCTTTCCACTTGCTCTCCTGGATGACTAAGCCCTAAGCCCCAACAGCATACACAGCCCTCCACTGGCACTTGGCATAATTTTATCTCCTCTAAATCATCACAGCTGCCCTCCATGATAGTAATTTCCATTCTTAATTAAAGAAAAGGAAACCAGAGTTTAGGAGTGGTAAGTGACTTACCCAAAATCATAGAGGGAGCCAATGCAGACCCGGGATTTGAACTCTAGTCTTCTTTCCTTCCAAACTCACCCCCTCAACCTGTTTATTCCCTTTTCTTTGACCGTGTCTGAAAACCTCCGCACGCCTTGGCGTTCACTCATGTTGGACTCACTCTCTTGGTCTGTCAGTGAGCTGAACTTCTTGTCCAATCAAATCCAAGTTTATTTCCTGCATAATATCTCTAGTGTGTTCTGTTTGTAATGATCTCACAAACGAGGGCCACACATATCACTACAGTACAATTAATAAAGTCAAATTAGATTCCTGGCATCTCGTGTTCTGACTGAATGCTAATGGTAGCGTTCGGAAAAGTGACTCCTGAGCAAGGCAAGGAGGGAGGGCTCGGGATGGAGGTCTGAATGGCAATCAGTGAGCCTCGCTGCATACCTGGCTTAATGTTAGCAGACAGGTTTTGAGAACCTTCTCAGAATGTGTGGGCCCTGCCTCACACATGCCAGGTGCTAAGGTTTCAACCTTAGCTGTGCCATTGACTACTTTTGTGAGTTTGGACAACGTATTTAATTTCTGTGCCTCAGTTTCTTCAGTTGTACCAATAGTACCTTACTAATTAGCACTTGAGAATTAAATCAGGCAAACAGACACATTCCTTAAAAGGGAGCATTCCAGACGGCATGGTGGCTCATGCCTGTAATCCCAGCACTTTGGGAGGTTGAGGTGGGAGGATCGCTTGAGCCAGGAGTTTGAAAGCAGCCTGAGAAACATAGGGAGACCCCCCCTCTCCCCGCCCCAGTCTCTACAGAAAAGCTAAAAAATTATCTGGGTGTAGTGGTGCACATCTGTGGTCCTAGTTACTCGTGAGGCTGAGATGAGAAGGTTGCTGGGAAGTCAAGGCTGTGCCACTGCACTTCAGCCTGGGTGACAGAGGAAAACCCTGTCTCCAAAAAAAAAAAAAAAAAACAAAAAACAAAAAAAAAAAAACACACACACACACACACAAAACAAAAAACAAAAAAAAGAATGTTTCCAGATGATGAGCATTCAACAAATATTTACTGACGATGAAAAT